ATTTATCAAAAGCCTCTAAACATGCATCATCAAATATGAAAGGCACATCATTAGCATGTAGGTGACACAAGGGCTGACTTATTTTTGAAAAGTCCTTAATAAATCTTCTATAGAAGCCAGCATGCCCTAAGAAACTCCTAACACCTTTTACATTCACAGGCGGGGGAAGTTTTTCAATAACATCTATTTTAGCTTTGTCAACTTCAATCCCCCGACTGGACACCACATGACCTAGCACAACACCACTAGTCACCATAAAGTGACTCTTCTCCCAACTCAAAGTCAAGTTCGACTCAATGCATCTTTCAAGAACATGAGATAAATTATGGAGACAATTAGAAAGTGAAGTGCCAAAAATTGAAAAGTCATCCATAAATACCTGTAAGCAGTCTTCGAGCATATCAGAAAAAATGGAAAACATGCACCGTTGGAAGGTTCCGGGTGCATTGCAAAGGCTGAAGGGCATACGTCTGAAGGCAAATGTGCCGAACGGGCACGTAAAGGTTGTCTTGGGTTGATCCTCCGGAGCTATGGCCACTTGGTAGTAGCCTGAAAGTCCGTCCAAGAAGCAATAAAACTGGTGGCCGGAGAGTCGGTCGAGAATCTGATCAATGAACGGCAACGGGAAGTGGTCCTTCTTGGTCACAGCGTTGAGTCGCCTGTAGTCAATGCACATCCTCCACCCAGTGGTAATGCGGGTGGGAACCATCTCCTTTCTCTCATTCTCAATCACCGTAATGCCTCCCTTCTTGGGCACCACATGAATGGGACTCACCCACTCGCTATCGGCCACTGGATATATAAGCCCTTCGGAATAGAGCTTCAGCACTTCCTTGTTTACCACTTCCATCATATTCGGGTTGAGCCTTCGTTGGCTGTCCCGAAAAGGCTTAGCACCCTCCTCCAGAATGATCCGGTGCATGCATGTGGAAGGGCTGATGCCCTTAATGTCTCCTAGGCTCCAACCAATGGCCTTCTGGTTCCTCTTAAGTACCTCAATCAGCTCATTCTCCTCTTCCCGGTTAAGCTCAGCAAAGATGATGACCGGATTTTGCTTCTCATCGTCGAGGAACACGTATTTGAGGTGGCGAGGTAGTTCCTTGAGCTCTAGTGTGGTTGGGTTCGGTTTGTCGGGCTCGCCTGCTACAAAAAGCTCAATGGTGGGCCCTTCTTCTTCTTCAAGATCGGGCATTGTCCTCTCTTCTAAGTCTCGAATGGTCATTTCCTTGACAAACGGATCGCTTACGTCAACAAATGCACACTCCTCCACGAAGTTAACCGAGGATGCTGAGGTAGCTTCTCGGACTGAGATAGATACGGATTCGCCTAAGACAGTCATGTTCAAGGTCCCGTTCCTTACATCAATAAGGGTGTTGGTGGTTGCCATGAACGGTCTACCAAGAAGGATGGTGTGATCCTTCCCATTCTCCTGAACGTCCCCCACGTCTAGAACCACGAAGTCCACCGGGACAATGAGTCTCCCTATACGAACAAGGACATCTTCCACCACCCCTTTAGGGTATCGAATCGAGCGGTCGGCCAACTGTAGGCACATACGGGTTGGTCTCAAATCTCCTAGACCGAGCCGCTGGAAGATAGAAAACGGCATGAGATTGATTCCCGCTCCGAGGTCAAGCATTCCCGAAGCTTCTTTGCCATTCCCAAGAGCGATTTTTATCACGAATCCTCCGGGGTCTCGTTCTTTCTTGGGAAGGTCATGCTGCATGGCACTAGCCGCCTCATAGACTACCACCTTCTCCCCATCGCCAAACTTCCTCTTCTTCGTGACCAAATCCTTGAAAAACTTCACGTAAGATGGCATGTTCTTGATCACGTCTAGGAGAGGCAAGTTGACATTGACCTTCGAGAGCATATTGTATAGGTCCCGAAACTGCTGTTCCTGCTTCTCATCTCGAAGTCTACTCGGAAAAGGGATGCGTGGCTTATACGGGTTTGGGGACTTGTGAAGCACTTAATTCTCCGTCTGTTTTCCCGAATCGGCCCCGGTGTTCTTCGCGCCCTCTTCGGTTTTCTTGGGCTGGTCGGTTGGTTTGGGATCATCGGACTCGGGCATTCTTACCTTGTTGTCCACTTCCTTCCCGCTCCTCAGTACAGTGATCGCTTTTGCTTGCTCGGGCTGGCTCGGAAGTTTCCCCTTGTCTGACTCTGCCTTCATATTGCCAACTCTCGTGGAAAGTTGGCCCACTTGCGTCTCGAGACGCTTTATAGATGAGTCCTGGTTAGTGATGAACTGGAGGATCTTGTCTAGCTTGTCATCTTGGTTCGACGAGCTCGAACCGGACTCTTGGGTTAGTTGTTGTGGTTGCTGCTGTTGTTGGTAGTTGGGACGAGGGATGAAATTGGGACGAGGTTGTTGTTGCATGAAGTTTGGACGGGATTGCTGTTGGTTGAAGTTTGGACGTGGAGGCTGGAGGTTGTTGTTGTTGTTGGACCATGAGAAGTGTGGGTGGTTTCTCCACCCGGGATTGTATGTGTTGGAGAAGGGGTCATTTGGCTGCCGGTTCTGATAACCTTGGAGGGCGTTGACGTCTGCATATTGTTCTCCTACCTCCTGGTCAAAAGCTGATGGGCACACCTCAGATCTATGCCCCTGAACTCCACAAGCCCCGCACGTGTCTACTGTCATAGTCTGCACTGACTGATTCCCTCGTGCATTCATAAGCCGAACTTGCTCCGTGAGTTCGGATATTTGATGAGCCATCATATCCTGAGCAGAAGATACCTCGTTGACCAAGACCATTTTTCCTCGATTGCTCTTCTGAGACGAGTTAGCACTCATCGTCTCAAAGATTTCATACATCTCTTCGGCTGTCTTCGAACCGATATCTCCCCCCGCAGCATTATCAACCATATATTGCAAATTCTGATTGAGGGAGTCATAGAAGCAGTTCATCAGGAGTCCTGGCGAAAGATTATGGTGAGGGCACTGCCGCTGGAGATCCTTAAATCGTTCCCAGGCTTCGTGAAGGGGCTCACTCGGTAGTTGGGCAAACGAGACAATCTGCGA